TATATATACATTTACGTATATATGATTAAATTTTAATTTTCTATTAATATTAATTTTCTAGTAAAAGTATTAATATTAATTTTTATATTTAATGCGCGAAAAACTTAGTTAACTGAAAATAACATCAATAATTTTCAGGATCATCATGGAATTAAGGAAGAAGTGTTCTTATCCTTACCTTGCACATTGGGTGAAGATGGCGTCACACACATTGTTCAGCAGAAGCTAACAGATGATGAACTTGCATCATTGCATACATCTTCAGCGATGATGCATAAGGTGCAAGAAGGTCTCAAATTTTAAAAATATTTATTATCCTTATTTATTTTACTTTTATTTTTTATTTTATTATATTTATATGTTTTTGATGCTCTTTTATATACATATAACTTACATTTACTACTGATGTATTAATTAGATGAACACAGTATTATATACAAGTTATTAAAATAATTTTTAAAAATATTTGCAGCTATATAATCGACATATATACTGCTCTTGTATGTGTGAAAAAGAATATAAAGTATAAAAAAAAAATATAAAGTATTCCTGATGCTATATTTATTTTTTTTATTATTATAATTTTATTTTATTTTTGTTTTATGACAGGAACATCTCTCATTATTATTTAGAAATATTTATTTTACAACATTATTTACATAATTATTTATGCTATTATTTATTTAATATAAATTTGATACACACAATGTAATCATTTCTAGCATTTTATGTCAAATATGATAAGGTACAAAAAATAAAAAAAATAATTTGTATGTATAACAAATTATATAAAAATAAAATATATAACTTATATCGATCATTCTTTCATGCATATTTTATTTAAGCAATATTGTTTATTATATTGTATGATAATATATAATGAATGATTCTATTATGAAAGCCATATATATATATTTTTTTTTATGTGCGTATGAATAAAATAACGTATGATTTTATTAAATTTTAATTAAGAGTAGCAGTTAAATTATTAATAAATTTTGAAATATTTCTCTTTATACATCTTTTTTGTACGCCTATTATAACAGTTTAGTAACCATGGATGTGTTTAACAATTGGCGAACCGATATGATCATGATGGCCGTATGCCAAGAATGTTATGTCGGCCGATTATAGTTACAGTGTGTACTCTCTCTTTTCAAGAAAAAAATTTCATGCAATGTGACGAGCGTGGGTGAAAACGATCGTGCGACGTTTACAAAACCGATGAGTGACAGAAGCAATGGTTTTATCACTTCTACTATCAAACTCGTTATTACCGATATGTCTGAGAAATCTTACACGCGTGACATTAACAAGAGACTTCATCAGGAATCGATATACTCGCACTTTACCGCCGACAATTTTGACAACAATTTTAGGACGTGATAAAGGAAAATCTTTTGGGAAAGATGCGACTTCTGATTCGAAAATACAGAGAGCAGTTAATTTTGTGTAATAATTTTTTTGTGTCATTGTAATGACAATATGTCATTACATGTCATATTATGTATATATATATATGTGTGTGTGTGTGTGTGTGTGTGTGTGTGTGTGCGCGCGTGCGTGCGGCATGCGTGCGTGCGGCATGCGCGCGCGCGCGCGCGCGCGTGTGTGTGTGTGTGTGTGACATGTAATGACATATTTGTAATTTTAAACGAAGATGGAATTTGATATATTCTCAAATTATTTTAATAATTAATTTTTTTTATTACATTAATTTCCATTTTATTGGACATCTTTGGTTATAATTACAATTAGCCTAAAATTATTTTTAATTATTAATAATTATAATTATAATTACTACTACTTAGATGTGGCGATACATTGTT